CACACACACACACACACACACACACACACACCCACACACACACACACCAACACGCACACGGAAAATCCACGGACAAATATTAACAGATACATAAAGAAAACTGAGAGATTGGTTCGAAAAAAACTATTTTTACAAGAATAAAGTACTTAGAAAGGAACGTACGAGTGTCATGGATTCACTAGAAATTCTCTCCAATAAAAAGCACTCCAATTGGACAGTGAAAAACTTCAAAATACTCTTATCAGTATAAATGAAAAGTACCTATCTGCACAAAGGGTGATTGAAGAACAAATTCGTTCTGCTACTGAGTTGGTAGAGTCGTGCAACTCTAACGCAACGCGTAACAACTCGATCACAAAAAATCAAAGTCTGTTATTTAATAATAATAATGGTAATTCGTTATTACACTCATTAAGTAATATTGTCAAAAGTGAGTTATTGAATGTTAGTCCCTGTCAAACTTCTGTCTCTAACAAGCTTAACCCAAATGTCGGGCTTCATAAACCGAAAACAGTTGTTCTGTGTGACAAACTTGGTCAATGCGTGGGGTCAATGCTGAAATATAAGTTGAATCATGAAGTGTTAAATATTTGTACTCCAGATTTACCATTTCATAAAATTGTCAAATACCTGAAACAGTATGAGAATGAGTTGAATAAATTTACCAATGTCGTTCTGTTTTGTGGTGATAGTCTCTTTGTTAAAAAACAACATATCATAAAATGTTTTTAACGTTCAGTTCAATTAAATTCTTTGAATGAATGTAAATTTACAACGTGTGCTTTTCCATATGCTCAAAATTTATCATGTAATCAAAACCAGCACATATTTATTCACATAGATTCATTTACCATTTGACATAACGACATTATTGCGTTTCTTGGCTTAAACAAATTTATAACTTACTTTAATTTGACAACAGAAACTTTGTATCTAGCGATAAAAGACAAAAATCAGATAGCTCAGGTAGCTTCTTTGTTAGTTTAGAATTTACAAATACAAGATACAGTTGCAAGAAATGCAACAAAGTCTACAAATTGTCATAATATAGATTGTACAGATAGTAACTCTTCTAATCCAAATATATTTACATTAGACGATAAGTCTCGCAAAACCTTTCATTTGAACTGAGTAAAAAGACAAAAGTCAGGCCCAAGCAATTTCAAATAGTGCATCCAAACATTCAGGGTCTGGCTGGCAAGGAGTTGGAAGTAGAATTGTTTTTACATAGTCAAAATATAAATATGTTATGTATAACGGAGCATTGGTTTAAGGATTTATAAAGTCATTTCAAGTATGTACCGCTTTTACTAGGAAGCACGCTGTTCGTGGCGGATCTATAATCACATCAATGTCAATGAAAATCATATATGTCAGTATAAAGAACGTAAGGATATAGTTGCCCTTTCGGTAGAGCGAATAATCGAATTGTCGTGTGTAGAGTTAAGGGAATAATAAATAAATAATAATAAAATTGTTTATTGAATAACGTATTGTACAAATGAATAACTAAAGACTAATTGTGCGAATAAATGTAAAATATAACACATATACCTGAACTAGGAGAATCCTGTATTTCAGGTAAAAAATACTAATTATACAGGTGAATATATGATGATTAAATTATAAACAAAAAATGTATTGAAATATAAACAAAACAATAATAATAATTAAACAATGAAATGCAAATCATATACCTATTACGCTTAAATTAGACAACGTTTATTTTGGGATAATTAATAAATTCTCTTTATCATCGTAAGACATATTTTGAAGGAATTCTTGGAAAATTTTCTTAACATAGGAATGAAACTATTTTTTCAGGATTTAAATCGCGTATATTTGTTTTTTCAAACAAACCGACGTTTCGGGCCCTTTACAGGTCCCATGGTCACGGTTGACTACGGTTGACACGATTTAAATCCGGAAAAATAGTTTCATTCCTATGTATAACAATCGCGAAAACCTAAGAACTCGATAAATTTTCTTAACCTTTATTTTAATTTTAGTTTATTATTTTTATTTATTATTATTTTTTGTTTTATTGTTTTAGTTTATTTTCTTTTAATTTATTATACAAAATTGGAC